TTCCAACCCTAACTATTCTATGGTTCTGTGAAGTACAGATAGCTGTCATTGGTTTAATCAACGTACCCATAAAGGTTACAAAACTTTGTGTTTAAGTTACAATGTCCTCTTGAGCAAGAGCAGAAATTCTCTTTCTCATTTCACTGTTCAAAAAAATACGTATCAATCAAATTTTTCAGTTTGGAGGGAAGAAAAATCCAAACTACCCTTGTGTGTAGCTTACTTTGTAAGTAAGAAACTGAGATCCCACAGAAGGTGCTCCAATTGCCAGATCTGACACTCCATCCTCATTGAAGTCCAGGACTGCCAAGGCAGAACCAAATCTTCCTGACGGCTGAAAGAAGAGGGATTGCTCTCATGAAAATAACAGACAAGACAAAAATCATCAAAACCTAATGCACATTCACAATCACAGCACAGAGAAGAACACAAAACAGAGATGACAAACATCTACTCAAATTCTTAGTATTTTCTTAGCGTCACTGTTTTTCCAAGTAGTAGCTGTCATACAACATATTAACTTGGAGTCAACTGTTCTGTTTGAGGATGTGGAGGTGTTAAAACATAAGGTAACTGAACACAATATGGTTCTGCTTTGCTATTTCCTCTTCTGAGCCTAGCACACCATTGATGTTAAGCTTATGATCTTTGCTGTTAACAGCGTTATAGTTGTGAACCACTCAAACATTCTGTAAGAAGACGGCAGCTGTTACTCCACAGTTTATAAGTAAAGAAAAAGATTAAAAGGAAATGTATCTCATCTCTCTCAATTCTCTTCTTTCTGAATAAAGTGTTTTCTACAGAGGGTGATCGTTATTACTAAAAAAGATAATTTGATCCTGCTTCTCGGTTACAAGCCAGTTACTCAAAGACAAACAATGGTTTTGTGAGAAGTTATCCATTAATGACAAAATGCTCAAATGAATGGAAATTTACGCTGAATTAATAATTTTAGATTAAAAAGGAAGGGAAAAATCACAGCTTTTTAACCCTGAATGACCTATTCTGTGACTTACAGACACATTACCTCACAGTTTTATTCAAGGGCAAATTACGTTCGAATACCCACTTACCTGGCACAGTAATAAAAGCGATCCTACAGATCAACCTTGCTTTAACTGTTCCTGTGACTTAGGTAACAGGCATTTTTCTTGACAAACATACGACATCATTTTACCAGGAGGGGTATTTCAGGAATAACCCTCGTATGTATCAATGATACTGTTGCTCAGTCAAAATTTACCACATTTTCAGGCAAAAATATTTAAGTGAAAAATATGGCTTGACCCTTCACCTGATGACCCTGTAGTATTTGGTCAGCTTTCTCATCTAGATCCATGTCCTCTGGTGGCAAACCTGACTGGTTGCCATAGACCACATACACCCGCCCTATCTGAAAATGGCCCAATGTGCTGTACCCTGGTGCTCCAACCACCAGATCTTCATATCCATCCTGGTTCAGGTCAGCTGAGATCATTGCCCTGTACAGCAAGGGAGACAATAAAAGCATAGCATTAGCTTCCAGACTACCACAACATTAGCAGAAAATAAATACTTTTACTCCTTTTGGATAAACCAAGACCTGTCTTTCCCCATCTATTTTTGTATTTTGTATTTCATTTTTGTTTTCTTGAATTAAATAAACCTTGAAGATTCATCTTCCATTAATGCCTCCGAGATCTGTAGGAACTGCTTTTTACTTAGTGACACAAGGCACCTGAGAGGGATCAGAGCAAGAAGCATGAAAAAGGGCTGCTTGCATATGACACAGAATAGAAAAGATGAAATTAAATATCTTTTTAACTGAACCTCTGATTTAATTGATGGAATTAAGAGTAGATAAGCAAAGGGATCACAGGTTTCAGTAACATGTTGGAGTTTAGAGAGGGAATGTGGAGAGAAAGAAGTAACTACTGTTAATTTGGCTGGTGTGAAGTAAACTGAAGAATTAAATCTTCAACTTTTGAGTCAGAAGAAATAAAGCAAGATGAGTAGCAATGCAAATTTATTTTATTACTCTTCCCTGCTGCAAATCAAGCTAGAACCTCTCTGGCAAGGTGACAGAATATCCCTTTTTCTGTGTCCTGAACCTACCTTTGAACTCACTACTAGTCCTGGGCACCATCAGTGATCAGTTTGGAACAGACAATTAATTCTGCACAAACATCAACCCACAAGGAAAAAGAGGTAACAATGTTCCTATACTGTTCAGAAGTAGAGCCAGGCTTGGTTCCAATTTTGGTTCCTTCCATTCCGAGCTTGATCACACACAGAGCATTGAGCTCCTTCACTAAGGAGGGAATGTAAAAAACCTGAAAAGACAACCCTTCCAAAGAAAAAGGTTGTCTGACTGGAATTAACATCTGAATGGAAATTTTGCTCTTGATACGTTTCTATTCAATACCAACACAAAGAAGCTTATGATAACATCTGAAAGAAAAGTTTTATTGGTTAACTTGTTCTGGCCAGACGATGTAAGCCATTCAGCCAGGTTTGGACAGTCACCTTTAAAGAGTATCCAAAAGATAAACATTAATATTTTGGAGAGTACTCAAAATTTTCAGAAATTAATAGGGAGGTGGGAGGAGAAAAATTACCAACCATCCAAGTCTAGCATAGGGTGAAGTCAGAAAATATGAAGCTGCTGGCTTGGAGATGTGGTTAGCAGATTTCTGATGTGCAGCTCTCCAGACACTGGTTCTAAAAGCACGGTTTAGCAAGCGGAGGGAATTCTGAAATAAAAATAATAAGACACAAGAATGGTTAAAGCACAGGCTGAAACTCTACAACATTATGGAGCATCTCAAAAACCAAGTCACCAACAGTAGAAATCACCACATCGATCTAAGTGGAATCTGATTCAAGTCATAAGCATTTTAGAAACAGAAAAAAATACGTATGCTCTAAATGGATCACTGCTAATTATTCACTGCTGTGCTTTCCTGGGACTTCTCAACCCCAAAAAGTGACCGTACGATCCTTTAAAATGTAAATACTAAAGTGTAAGTACTAACGACATATTTTGTCATTTTTGGCACTGAAAGATGTGTTCTAATTTTACTATACAATGAGCAAAGTGTAAAAATTGAATATTTACGACGTACGTATAAATATATGGCATCAGAATCTCTGTGAAGTGAAGTCAGAGGCTACTGTTAACATCCACAAACCCTGCTCCATCATGCAGCATTTCAGACAGAAATTATAACAATTCTATAAAGAGCTGAATTTTAGCTCTCATGTCTGTCAATTCTCACTTACTTTTACCCAAGGTTGTATGTTGAAGTGAACTCCTCTCTCTGTATAATTTATATTCTTTTCATGTGTCTCTGTAAGCAAGGAAGTTCTGTTCTTCTGTTGTTCATGTTTTGATTGTTTGTTTCTGCTAAAATAAAGAAGGCAGTAATATGATTAATATAACTGAATTTGTTTCTGCTAAAGTAAAGAAGGCAGTAATGTAACAATATAACTGAATTAATGACTTGAGTATTTTATGAGAAAGCTCGGAGAAGCAAGCATATTGCATGCAATCAGGTGTCCTTTCCTCCCATGTATAAATGGAATTCTCAAGACATAGCAGTTAAGCTAGCTTCTTTTGAGATGTCTGCTAGAGGAATTCGTACACTTGTATCCTCAGCTCCAAACAGCTGAGTTCCATTATTTCTGTACATAAATCAGGAAAGAATTTAGCTATGGTAAAGGGTAAATATGAATCAGTAGGTTCACGATTAGCAGAACAAAGAATGACAACAAAATAAAGTGTGAAGACCTAGTATTTCAAGTGCTAGGTAAGTATTCTTGTCCTTAGGCTGGAACGTGAAAGTCTTTCCTAGATTCTGGACAGTTTCCCTATACGAAGCTTACTTATTCATGTTAGGAGAATCTCAAATTCACACACAAAAAGATAAAAGATCTCTAATTTTCAATAGTACGCTGTCCACGTTAGCAGAAGACTCTCATCAGTAAATCTTTGAATCTTCAGAGGTATACTTACATGTAGTTGTCCTTGTGCTCACTTCTGCAATTTATAAACAGAGGGTTCTCAGGCAGGAAACAGCCACTAAAGAAATATGCAGAATGCATTTTAAAGCTTTTCTTGCAATGGAAGTGAAAAACTAAAAATACAACTTTTATCCTTACTGACTCCTCTGTTAGAAGTCATTAGGTTTCTCAAGAAACCCTGCTTATTCAAAACCAGATCATTATAATCATAGAATCATAGAATGGTTTGGGTTGGAAAGGACCTTAAGATCATCTAGTTCAACGCCCCTGCCATGAGCAGGGACACCTCACACTAAACCATGTCACCCAAGGCTCTGTCCAACCTGGCCTTGAACACCGCCAGGGTTGGAGCATTCACAACTTCCTTGGGCAGCCTATTCCAGTGCCTCACCACCCTCACTGTGGACAACTTCTTCCTTAGATCTAACCTAAAGTTCCCCTGTTTAAGTTTAAAGCCATTACCCCTTGTCCTACCACTAGAGTCCCTAATGAAGAGTCCCTCCCCAGCATGTATAATATTTACAAAACCCTTTGATATTGATTTTAATGACCTTGATAAGGTTGTCTATGAATCTCACGTCTTTATATAACTGTAAAGGAAGCTTACTGTAACATGTTATGCTAATTATAATAATTCAAAGCACTTTTAATGAAAGTGCCATTCCAGAACAAAGAACACAACAGATTATGCCAAATTATATTTCAAGCATCATTTCCCAAAATAGCTGCAGTGATACTTTCCATATAAACAGACAGACTAATTGCCACTGTTGTTCTTATAACATTATTTACAGTAAGGTTACACTTACAACACAGCAGTACAAGGTTAGAACTTCTATAAAAATATGGTATTCTGAGTACAAGCCTGAGCTTCCAACACTAGAACATGTACTCTTACTCTTTCTAATCCTATCAGCCTTAAGTGTCTGAAGGCAGTAACTGACCTCCTCTAGGAAGGGTCATCTTTGCTGGCTGATGACAGCAGCCAGAAGGTGCAGCCACAGCCACAGCCACAGTTCAGACTGCCAGGCCAGGCAGAACCTCAGGGCATGGCTATGCAACATTTAAGTAAACCCTTGAGTATGTCTTAAAGAATGCTCCAATTTTTCCCCTGTCGAGTATCAGCTGGGCATGTCAGAGCCTTCCCTGGAGAGTATGCAAAGAATGCAGACCCAAAGCCCGTGTAATCCTGTGCACATGGGTAGAAGACAGCCACAGAAATCCCTTAGTCCAAGGGAGGATTTAAATCTCAGCACCTCTTCTAGGAAAGAGCCTGCCTTCGGAAAAACAATTAAATGGGTGTCAGAACCTGGCTACTGTATTTCATACTGCAAGAAGCATGCTATACCTGGTTCCATTCTCTAGCATATGGCTCGTCAGCTCAAAAATATTGTTTGTCCAGAATGCCATGTCATCCACTCCTCCAAGGAAATACTCATGGAACTTCTCCACCAGAAACGGAGATTTACTAGCATACGTTGGAAAAAGCTAAGAAGCAAGCAACACATTTAGTAAGATGGATTATATGGTCTTCATGCTATGTCTTCATTTTTATAAAGAAAATGGAAAACCAACCTTTCCAACAACAAGCCTTTCTCCATGCCTAAAAGAAAAAATATAATCTTCAGAAAACAATTTTCTTCATTCAATATTTATATTTCCAACAGTCCTTTTTAAAGCTTCTGTATGGTAAATACTATGCAAGTAGTTACATTTCCTTTTTGGTTGTTAACATATTTTTAGAAACTATAATGTGAGGAATAATGATATTAACTTTATTGCTCCCCTTGATTTGGAGGGATTCAGAGTGTTTGTAAATGCTGAATGACTCTTGGTAACTAACTGAAATAAAGGACAGAGCTAGGCTGTCTAGGATATTCAAAAGTAGACACTGCCAGAAATCAAAAGGCGCTTTTGAATTATTCTTGGACCTGAAAGGATCCACATCAAGTGTAGGTAAGCCATTTATTTAGGTATGTACATTACTCCTTCAGTACACGCATATTACATTGCAACATGACACAAGGCAATGGTACTTGAAGACACAGGTGTTCTCAAATAAATAGGCGTAAGTATGTTAAATGCATAAATGCGTTAAGTAACTAAGATGCTGAATCCGTGGTGTAATAATTAATTTAGCAGTCACTACACAGTCCAAAATTGTATTCCAGCTATTAAAAAAATTCAGGTGTTTCGTGATTTGAGGGTCTAGCAGGGAGTTTATATTGATGGCCTCAATGCATCAGGCATTTCAAATAGGATTAGGATAATTTTCCTATGTATATTTCACTTATGAAAGCCCAGACCAAGCTATTCAACTTACAGTTCAAGAAACAGCAGGTAAGTACAGTCAGTAATTGTGCTTTCAGTTATTATCTCTCTTCCATAAAATTCCTTATAAATAGCTGCCAGGTCTTTGACAGGTACATACCTAAAACCAGGATGAAGGTATTGTAACAGGAGATTTTGTACATGATAAACATTACAGTTTGTGTAATAATAATATCCTGCATTAAAATATTCTAAATTTCAAAAGACTATAGAAGGTCATGAACACTTACAAATGCCAGAAAGAGCAGGACTGTGGGTGCTGTTATTCTCTGCACAACACTCTCCTCTTGTTTAGTTCAAAGTCAGAAACCTGTAGAGCTGTTTCCCTGCAGCTACTGCTTGTAGAGTTTCCATGCTTCCTGCACTGGTTCCCTGGCTTGGTGATCACATAATCTTGGAGGATATCCTCCAGCTCTCCACTGTACCAAACCTACTCCTAGCCAAACATTTCCTACAGCTGTTCCTTCTGCACTTAGATGAACTACACCCTAATTAAGCAAAACGACTCAAATGACCTATTTTATCAGCAGAAAAAAAGGCATGTGAGCTTTTTATTTCAGCTAAAAACTATGAGAAAAAAATGCTTACATCTAAACCTGCTGCTTCTTTTTACACTTTTAAAACCTGTCTGAATTCCACGGCATCTATAACCATAAGCATCCTCGACTTCTAAAACTTTAAATGGAAATCTAAGTGAGATTTATTTAACTAATTCCTAGGACATTCCAGCAAACCTTTTTCATTTATTATTTTACATATAATTATTTATGATTTCCTTCAGAGATAAATAATTTAATCATCTTTGTTGCTGTGTTCCTACATGTAAACCTCTTTTTCCTTCTGCCCTTGCAGTTTTTCTTGTCACGGAACAGTAAATATTCATAGAAGAAATAACCAAACTGAGAAAAATTCCAATAGCCACAAGGACTTCTTTGGAAAGAAAGATGAAGGACAGAATTTTGTTAAAACACAGTTAGTGTGCAGAGTATGCAGAAACAATTAAAGAGGATAACCTCACTATCTTACCAATTCAATGCCAGGTAACTGAAGTCCAGCTCAAACTGACTCAATACATCTCCTCCTGTGGATGGAAGAATGAAAAAAAACCACAAAGACCAACAAACCAAACCTGTGAAGTATCTACAATGGATAACAGAGGCGATGAAGCTACATATGGCTATGCTATCTATGCTTATATGACCCTTCAGCTATACATTTAGAATGCATAAATGGTTTACCTGAAAGCATGCTGTATAGATTATACTGCCAGAGGATAAGAATAATGCAAAATTTGAAATTACAGTAGTGACTCCATTTAAACATTAGCATCCTTTAGCCTGTGTTTTGACTTTAATACAAGTGTCCGTATGCTCCATCACACTCCTGATGAAACATGGAGCATGAGGACAGGTACAGCAGGGTTTTGCAGGCTATGGGGGAGAGTGAGAATACAGTGTCCGTTTGACTCATTTTTGGCTCCTGCATCACACAAGGTAAGAGCCAGAATCACCTACTGTGGTCTTGAAGAGGACTAGTTATTTCAATAGAAGAATATATGATCAGCAAAGAAAAACATTACCAAAATCGCCAACATTGTGAGCTTCTGAATATGAACCACGAAAATCAATCTGGAGAAAGAGAAAAACAAGAGAACTGCCTGTTTCTTTTACTCATCCTTGCATACAAACATATGAGCTGAAACAAACTGTTCCAGCAGCCCTGAGGTTTACAGGTCCTAAACCTGATCAACTTTGTTTTTATGGAGTTTGTGACATTACATCTCTTTGAAAATGTTCCTGAAACAGGGCTCCAAGCTTTTCTCTTCCCTCCCCACCAGAGTCCTAAGCTATCAATTCCATTAAATCTAGTTATATCAATAAATAAAATAACACAGGCTTACTTCTCCCATGGCCTTTAGAAATCCTTGGTCGATGCCCAGGCTATGCCAGCTAACATCTGCCACCATATGTGAGGCAATTCCGAAAAGGAAAGCCACCAGCTTCTCTGTAGCCTACACAACAACAATCCACTTGTAGTAATGTCAGCAATTTTAGTCCTGTCTTTAAGAAAAGGTGAGCATTTTATGTAAGTGCATTATACAAGGATATAGGTGAGAAACTTTTACAATCCAAGAACTTAGCATGACAAAGTGTTGACCACTCATTCCTTGATGCTGGAGTCACTTTTTGTGACTTGAGAAGCTTTAAGCATTTTAGACAGTCCAAGGTCATAGAATTACATGGTTGATGTCGGGAAAATTTGTGTACTGCAAGTTAGATGTATATTAAAGTGTTTTTCTGGACTGGGGACAAACAGTTCCACTTCAAAGGAGTGAATCCCCTCTGCCATCATAAGTGTTGTGCAGGCGCACAGGGGAGAGAAAAATATTCCTGTGTAAGACCTGTTCACTGTAAAAGTATCTGATTAAATCATAGAATGGTTTGGGTTGGAAGGGACCTTAAAACTCATTCTATTCTTCTCATATGTAGCTCATATACCATAAACAAGAGCAAATCAGGACTAAGTTGAATGTTTCACAATCTTGAATTTAGCCCTGTGAGAATTGTGAGAATTCTAAAAGACACCAGGTGTTCAAGTGGCAATGACTCAACCAGACCTGACAATAATGCAAAATTACCAATCACTTTTGGACAAAATTTGGACCTATGAAATGTATCACAACTACTAGACCACACTGGAGGTAACTGACAGACTTCACATGGAAACCATAACATTTATATCTGGTAAAGATGAAAACAGGATTTCAGATTTTCCTATATCAGCAGAGACTTTAATTTAAAAACATGTACTTTTCCTACACTTTCCAAAGGATAAAATTGCAACAAGTGAAGGTGAAGAAAGCAGTAGAATGCAATATTAAAAGTTAACGAAATTTTCTTACCACTTCCCAAGGCGGAGGATAATTCCTTCTGATGTAGTGAATACTTGCATTGAGAAACGGTGTCCAGTGAGTGTCTTCAGACACATCATGGAAGATTCCTATTGCAGCAAAATTATATCAGTATTTAATTTACTCTTTGGGGGGGAAGAAGAGGAGAAGAGGAGGAAGAGAGCAGAAGGGGAGGAGAGCAGAGGAAAAAGAAGAGAAAAAAAATATTTGTTTTCTCCATGGGGAAAAAAAAAACCAACCCCAAACCAAATGAAAAACTTTCGTTCAATTCCATATGTAGAGATGATACATTTTGTAATCCACTTATATAAGAAAAGCCAAATGAGATGTACCTTTATATGATTTATATTGTCAAAAAAGTTACTAGATTTACCTTCTATGGGTTTGAAGCATTTGACAATTTTTTGCCTGCTCCTCTTCTCTGTGTCTGTGAGTAGGTACAGGACAATGAAAAACTGCCTTCCAAGTGAAGAAGATAAGGAGAGCTAACAGAGAAGCTGCTGACTAAACGAATGCATCAAATTGCTTGGCAGAAAAGCTGATGGTCAATGCAGGCAACTCAAAAGATGGTAGGCAGGAGGTTAATTGTTTGGATCATCAATACACTTTGAGGACGAGTACATGTTTGTTCACACAGAACAGTGAAACTGCAGAAGATTAAGGTATATTAAAAGATGAAACCGAGAGAGCAGATCTTGTGGTTGATTCAGTTACCTCCTGGCTTCTTGACATTTTACAGTGCAGCTGAAATAGGTAACATAAGAATGGGATTTGCTAGACAAAAATTCAATGTTGACAGAGCAGACTTTTACATCTAAGCTTATCTCCTGCCTGGAAAGACAGTCTGGATGGCTTTGTTCTTGATCTAAAGGCAGCTCAGATCTGCAGAGGTACCTATTTCTTATACATCGACTAAGGAGGCTGTTGATAAGTGGCACAAATGTAAACCAAGGCAAGATGGATTGCAACTTTAGTGAAGGAATATTGTCTGGATGCTGCTCTGATCTGTGGCCTGGTATAAGGCAGAAGTCAACTGTTAGAAGGGAAAGATAGGGTAGATAAAATTAACCAAGTTAAGGAAGGAATTGAAGAAGTACCAGGAGAACATCTATCCTGAAAACAAGGCAAGAGAGTCTGAACTTTGTGACAAGATGTTAGCAGAGCCAGGCAGAAGATCGGGAATAGTGACCTGATGAGTGACGGGGGACAAAACCAGCATTAAATGCCAGAGCAGAGGGGCAATCTGGATGTGAACTGAGCACCATGACATAACAGCAGAGGATCCCCTGTTCAACAACCCACATGGGCAACCTGCCTATCAGGACATAAACCAAGTAGCCTGTAGTCGGCATAAATGACAATCAACATCAACAACCTAGGACTGAAAAACAATGAGAAGTCTGGCTGCCACTGTGAGATTTAAGACTCAAGTAAAGTGGCCAACGAGAATAGATGGGAAAAGTGTATTTGGCAAGACAAGGGATTTTGCAGTTTGAGGCAGGAAAAAACAATAATGAGGTAAGCGGAGGCACTGGCACTCAGCTGTAAAACATGTAAAAGATGAGGAAAACAAAAGATCCTAAGAACACGTTGAATTTAATAGATCTGAATTTGCAGGACACACTAAAATAAACCACATCCTGTGCTTTAGACTCTCAGTATCCTCATACAAACTATGTATCACTGCCTTGTTTCTGGTACCTGCCTAAATATCTTAATAGCTTGTTGCTGGAGGACAGGCTGTCTTTGTCCCATTTGTTAATTGCTCATTATCCAGATTTACCACTTCAGTAGCAAACATCCTGGAGCAAGCCCTAGCTGGCTGTTTTATAGCTTCAATGTTGCTGGAGAAGCTAATTATGATGAAGAGCTGACCTACCAGAGCTGAAAAATGAGGGGACCACCTGCAAGTCAAGACATACTTTTTACAGCCATTGCTACAGAGTGCTAAATTTGTAGTGCACTCTTTAGATCTGGAAGCAGCAAAACTAAGGCAGACGTTAATTTCAAATGAGAACCAGTAAAAGGTAGAAGACAGTAGTCTGGAAAACGAAGGCTTTAAACTGGGATGTTACTAACATTCCCCAACCAGCAAGCCTTATGCTATTTCATTTGGGTATTTTTTTTAGATCCTCCTATCATCTTTGTGACTGATTGATAGAAACAAATACTTCCTGATAGAGAAATCAGCTCTAGGCTTTTCGTAAGACTTAGAAAAAAGATAATTTTACCCTCTCAGTTTCTCCCCAAGACAGCACTCAGTAATCTGACCTAATTCAGTCAAACAGCATCATTCTACCAAATTGCCCTACCCACTAGTTACATTTACTCAAAAGTTACTTTCTAAAATCATTTTCAAATGTATTATTTTTTTACAAAGTTCTAGAAAAAGGCTCAAAATACTAACACAGATGGTGGATGTTTTTGCAGGAAGGTATTTTTGGCCATACTTCATTTCTTCCAACATAACTATTTTTAACCCTACTAAATTCTATAGGATTTTCACATAAAAATAGAGTTGTTACAATACGGGACTTTTCTTACCACTTTTGCAGATTGGAGGATAAAAGGCATCAGGATAAATGCTCCCAGCCTGAAATGCATCTTGGTGGTTTAGTAATAACTGGGAAAAGCATGGTGGAAAAAGGAATCAGAATGCTATTGCAGAGAACAAAAACAGAGTTTACTGACAATATCTAAGATAAAATACTGCAAGATATAACTATTACCTTGGTAAATGTTATTTCAGTGTTGTCATCATCCCACAAGATTCCTTCCCACCCTCCCCCCACCCCCAAATCCTTGTAAGAGAAACTATGCTAATCAGTATACACTAATTTGAAAGGCCATTTAGGAAAGTATTTGTACAATATAACTTAGGTGCCGATGAAGTCACCTTCTGAAGGTGCCCTCTTCCTCTTGTACTAGAGACAAAGCCTTTGGGCTGTTAACTTCCATCTTCTGAATCACAGCATAGGTGTCTACAGTGGACAGTGTGAATACTCCCCTTGAGTGATCTTCTACTTTGATAAAAGATTGAGTTATCTAAAATGGTCTTCCTTACATTGTCCTAAAATATATTAAAAATGTTAAATACATTAAAAATATAATAAAAAAGTGCTCTGCTGGGTACAGCCCATGAAAGAAAAAGCTATTTGTACCAACCAGAAATCAGGAATGGTATGTGGTGGACAACATTCAAACCTTGTTGTCATTTTCCTGTCCTTACGTTTATTAGATCTCCTTTCCCAAACTCCCCTGATTCTTCTAATACAACTACTAATGGAGGGTTTGACTTCAGAAGACAGGAAAACATGCAAAAAAGCATTATTATAATTGCTACATATTTGTAATAGTATTTAGGAGTCACATAGTTTTCAACAAAAAAAGATAAAAATACAGTCTAGGCACAACACTTACACACATATGACCGAGAATAAAAGATAAATGACAAAGAAAGGCAAGAAGACAGACTGAAAAACATTCACAAGAAAGGTATATACAATTAAGCAATAATATGCTTCCTACCTGTCTATAATTAACATTCCCTTCGTGCTTAATGAAAAATTCCAGAGCTCTATGTGCTGAAAAACAACATATTGAAGTATTGATTTACAGGTACTGTGGCCAGGCCTGCGTTTTGTTAGAAGCATTATCAAAACCAGAATAACCACATTGTTATACCTAAGCCAAGTCGCAGAGGTGCATGAAACATGATTTCTCAAAAAATTCTGTACTTGTGGGAGGGTGTGTTTTCTCATCTAGGGAGCTAGTAAGGAAATGCTGTTTCTGTGGCACATCTAGCCACTGAGGTCTCATCAGTCTCTCTAATCCCCAGCTCCCAAGCTGACCAACAAAGCTGAAATCATAGAATCATAGAATGCTTTGGGTTGGAAAGGACCTTAAGATTATCTAGTTCCAACCCCCCTGCCATGGGCAGGGACACCTCACCCTAGATCATGTTGCAGGGAAAAGGAATTCCCCATGTCCAAAACTGAGCTACCTGAATTGTATTTAAGTTTCACTGTTGCCCTTAACACAGAAGAAGGTACCTCAAGAATCAATGCAGATGTTTAACAGTTTGATTAATTTTTAACATGTATGAAAACCAACAAAAACCTAAAGTCAGCAAGGTAAATAATACTATTTATTCACTGAATATCCAGACATTCTTACTGCCAAAATACTTATTAAGCAAGCGTAACAAAAGAATGAAGCAAACTGACATTATTTTTCTTCAATGAAGTCTCCTTCTAAAAATGTTAGATCCCAGGGATAATCTATTAACATTCTTCTGAAAATACCCAACATTGCCACTAAAATTATTTGGTTGAAAATGCACACATGGGTTATCATCTTGCCTTCCCACACAAAGTTTTACTCCTCACTTGAAGCTATTCACAAACTAAGACTGCTCAAGATAATCCAGAATATCCTGAATTTAATTTGATCCTTATTAAATACATCACAAAAAAAAATCCCCAAACCCACTCTCTGGAATAAGATCTATACAAAACTGTGTGGGTTTGAATGTTCTTTCACTTTGAACTGTACCCGATAACCTAAACCATCCTTATTCAAATATGTTAAAATACCTTAAAGGCCCAAAACAGGAATAACTTGCACCAAAATAATAGTAACTTAAAAATAATAATAAAAAGTCATCATTTTGATGCTCAGCCATTTCAACACACATCTCTATTTGCAGTGTGGGAGAGTCTCAGTTTGGCAGCTTGCTTTTTCTGTCTCACATTTCCCCATCCTCCTCCCAGCTTCTCTCATTACTCACGTGGGCCCAGGTCCTACAAGTTCATATTTACAATGAATCTCATGATGGATCCCCACAGTTCCACGGACCCCTGTGGGTCTGACAGGAGCCCCTGGGAGGGGGGAAGAGCCTCCACACTCAGACCTCCCTCCAGCCACAAGGCCATGGCCAAGTAGGACATGGCACAGCTCTGCTGAGCACACTGAACATGATCCACATGTTGATCAGGCAGAGCTTTTCACCGTTTTTAAAAGTACGTTCAGAAGCCCATCCCCAGCAGATTTCTGTGCTGGTTTTGAGTCGGAAGAGTTCCTTTCCACAGTTTGTTGTGGTTTCTCTTTCTTGGAATACTCAGTGTTTGGATTTGGCAGTAACTTTCAGTATCTTACCATCATGGACTTTTATTTGCACATTAATTAAAGCACTGACTTTAGCAGTATCAGAGCTGATCCCAGTTTAATGTCATTTTCTGACAAATGAACAAAATCTGTTGCAAACTATGACCAATAGTTCAGTGTACACACTACTCCTCAGACAACAAGATCTTTAAATCATATAAACACAGGTTTTCTGCAATATGCTTTAGTAGAAAAAAAAATTACTGCTTTGGAAGAAAGCCATAAGCTCTTGTTTCTCTTTGTAGATTTTTTGCAGATACACTCTGTTCTTCCAAATCTGTTATTCCAAGTTTTCAGAAGCTCGTACTCACTAATTAGAGCCACAACGTTGCAAAGATGTATGTGCTTGCCCAACCTCAGGCACTGTGATTTCTCCTACCAATTACTGTAAGTTTCTTGACATTGTTTGGAAAAGCAAATGGTTACAGGATGCTGACCAAGGGTACAATGCCCAGTAAGGGAACATAGTCTCAAATGAATGCCATGAATAGTCCCAGCCTTTAATTTGTTCAAAGTTGCACGTATTTAGTACTTAAAGTCTGAGCAGATTACCCAAATAGAAACAACGGCATACGTTTTACCATCTGTCATATGTCTTACTATCTGTTTGTTGAGCAATGGATTTAGAAACAGAAGAGTAAACAATTAAAACAGTCAATTTGAGTAAACACTTCAGAATAACCTCACACTACTCACGAGTGCTCTTGCAAGAACTACAGCAGAAACCAGGTATTAAAAATAACACATGCAAACAAGAAATTCAAAACAGGAATATTTCCCTCATTCTCTACAAATCTAGGTTGTTCAGGCTACAGATAGCAACCTATCAGGAACAGATACAGAATGGCTTTCATTATGTTAGCCATAGATACAAACACATTACAGCATTTGATCTATTTTATGCAGGCATGGCAAAATTAGTACACGGTGATTCGAAAACAGAGCTGCCACAAATGGTCTGTGTTGTTCTCTAGTTTAAATATAACAATCCCATGAACTGCGCAAACTGTTCCTCTTCTTTATCCAAACCAAACCCTGTCTGCCTGAGACTCACAGGCACAAACATTCCAGTTACATAATGGCTGTGTTTTACCAGATGGAAAAGTACGCAACCAAATCGATTCAAGCATTTTGCTTATAAAAACAGCAAAGTTTTAAACTCCAAAACCAAACTACTCATCTATTCCATGTGCAATTCACGTTTTTTAAAAAATGATATAGAATGCTCAATACTTTAACATTATTTCCTCCCTTTGCCTTCCAGTCAAATCAGGATTTACTTCTCCTCCCAAGAAACAAAAAAATACATGGAACACCATTCTGAACATCTTACCTATTTCAACGTGTGTCGAAATTCCACTTGGGAGACATCTCTGACAGCAATGGCATAGTATAACCAGCAAAACAGACCAAATCTTCAAACCACCCATGATGCTAGCTCAAACTGCAATTTTTTCAGAAGCCTGTAGCAGTAGCACTGTGACCTTTGAAATGTGGGTTACGGAGCATGCCTTTTCTTGCAGATATATTGCTGACACAGCAAGTAAACGACTGCTGTATTTGAAAGGCTATTTTAGATCGATGCTTTTCTTTACCTCAGATTAAGTAATTTATATATAAAAAATTAAATGATCTATAGGTGTTCTCCCGCCTGTGGGATCTGGACAGTGTAACTGCCATCACCGCACGGCAGAAGTGAGGTTTCTGTTACTACGCAAAGCACGGCAAAGAGCATCTGCCCAGTTTGTGGTGCACTTGCCTTACAACAACTACGTCAGATTTCACAAAAACTTAAAGCCAATCGCTAATGGAGCATTAGTACACACACTAGCTCCCTTCTTGCAGGCAACACAAAGTCGGAAGTTTGATGAGCTGACAGCGCATTGCACTTACATGCTTGGGTCATACGATCCAGGCATAAACCGCAATTGATACTGGGGGA